TAAACGAATAACAAAATTCGCGGCGAGGAACGAAAAGGACATAGCCCATAGAAAAAGTGCTACTTCCTTTAGTTGAGATTTTATCGATTCAATCAGATAATCATATATATATATATATATACATATTATTAGAAACAATTCTAACAAGGGAAAACAATATATACGTATAATAGGAAAATCAATCACGTGAGTCGGTTATCCGACAAATGACATAATAGAACAAAACAAAATCAATTGGATATAAATATACTTTAAGTAGTTTAGCGTCAGTTCACGTCATCTGCTGATGCTAATACTTTCCTCTCCTCGAAAATTACCAATCATACGATGAATGTTATAGATTTTTTTATTTTACAATAAAGCATGTCCTTCAGACCATTTTTCACGGCGATATTTCTTGTTTTTGACTTTGTTTCGTCTAATTATACAATCATTCGAAATTATAAACATTTGACATATGGAAATCTTTTTTTATTAAATTCATGTAAAATTATTCTATGAGTAGTTATTTAAAATGAAAAGTCTTATGAATAAACTTTATATGTGAGAGGAAACTAGTGCTAATTATTTTTAGTTTTTATTCTTTTTCAAATCGAATCTACTTTTCATTCGTATATTTATAAATACTTATTAGAAAATAGATTGATTTATACGAAAGAAATACTATTATATAATTACATTATCTTCTAAGATAATATTTATAGAACTATGATGAGATTTGTCGATCTCTATAAGAGATAGTTCTATTTAATTTTAAAGTTTGAATGAAAATTGTTCAAAGTTCTCTGCATATTGTTTTATTTGTTTTTTGTTAAAAAAAGGATTTCACTAACAAGCAGAAATCTTATGTTTCTAGATCAGTCAGTAATCATCATAATTAGTATACTCGCATGATGATAACATACAATACAATAGTTATTTATGTTTTGAGTTTTTTTTGTTTTTACAAAAAGAATTTATTTTCCTAACTCATTTCCCTATTATAAATGAATGCTTCATTTTTAGGAGAAAGATAAAGTTTCATTTTTGTCTTTGTTCATAAAACTTTTCCAAATCTCAAGAAAATAAAATATCTTTGAAATATCGATGACAAACGAAAGAAATTTTAAAAAATGTTGTTTTGTTTCTTCTCCAAAAAGTACCTTTTTTTGTCACTTCAATGATAATTATTGTTTTAATTTTGTTTTTTCTCATGTTATAGCACTCTATTTGTAAAATGTCTTCTCCGAAAATGAAACTGATTGACTTATGAAATCTTAGCAAAGCAAAAAACAAAAAAAATTGACGTCTGTTGATAAGTAAGAACAATTGAGCAAGTTTAGATTAGTAGATATCTTTTATAGCAATTAAATTTAAGCGAGTCTTTATATTTCGTGTTCAAGATATATGCACATTTATTTATCGATAAATCGAAAATATAATAATTTCGTAATATAAATTGTTCTTGTCTCAAAAATGAATTTTTAGAATTAGTAGTTTTGTTTTTTACTCTGGCTTGCATACTTTCTTTTGATAGTGAACTATAACGTATAAGGACCGTAGGTCATTCGTGTCCCGATGCCGAAAACTGATTCAATAGTTGATGTTTTCGAGCGCTTATTAGTTGATAATAACAAAGCAAAAAAGGGATTTGGTGAGAAGAGTGGCTTTTTCTATTTATTCATTTCTATTATACAAAAAAGTACAAATAAATTGAAATAAAATAACAGGAAATGTAAAATTGCATAAGTGACATAACCTTATTTTTTCTTTTTAAATTTCAAAAGAAAAAAAAAGGTAATCAGAAAATTTTATAGGGTGTGGGTGGGTGTGGGTGTAGATCTCATTCTTGTGTGCTTGCACACCCGCATCAACACCCACAACCACATCCACCCTTGATCTTGTTCGAGAAGAATTCTTTTGTTCACTATTCGAATTAACTCTTAAACTGCTTGTTTTCGTTATCTTTTATTCAATTGTTCGACCATCCTCAAAAAGAAGAGATGAGTGAAATCAAAGATTTTTACTTGACACGTTGTTCTTTCTCTCTCTATCAAATTTATCAAACTGAGTTCTCGGCGAGGATCGACTTAGGAAATGAACATTTTTCAACAAGAATTATTTGCAAGAAAATGTCTGATGAAAAGAATTGTAATCATCAATTCTGTATTGTGCAATATTAAAACGAAACGATCGAGGTTTACGTGGACTTCAGCGCAACGTTTGAAGATTAATACTAGTTAAAAGTCAGCACATGAATTTGAAATCGAATTTCATCTAATCAATAGCCAAAAGATGTTTAATAGCTTCAGAAGAACATCTAGGCAAAGTTTCTCATGATTAAACTGCTATCGATTCAAACTATTGTGAGTAATTATTTAATTAGGTCGTATAGATCAAGTTCTGTGAAATCTTTTACAAGAGATTTGATCATCTATTCTTCTTTCTTGAACGCAACTGGATAATAATTCAAACTATAGATATTCTATTTATTCTTCTATCATCATATCAGAAACAATATCTTAAAATGACAGGGCATATGAAACACAATAAGACAATCCATCGACTTGAAGAATAAATAAATTTCCAAACACGATCGATCTTGCTGTAGTGTATATTCTTGTTTTTAACATATGTACCGATTTGAACTTGATCGATGCATGTTTGTTGTTGATAAATAGCTCGAATTTCCATAGTCGACAAACATCGCTTGAAAGCAACGAGATCGGCGATACGAGCTTCGATCGATGATCGTACTGAATAATTGTTCAGCTTGCAACTCAGTAAAATCGCATTGGAAGGAGAACTTTCCATGGTATGTCTATTCCACGTTCGATGCAGATCGAAGTTTTTCAAATCTTGTCCATTGATCCATATGCGATAGCTGGTTTGTGATTCAATGTTGGCTAAAACAATATGTGTCCACTGATCACCCAACAATATTTGCTTTCCATTGATGACATTCCATATGTGATCAGCATGGAGACAAGTATGTAGGTCTAGAACATGAATATCTCCAATTCGTACAGCTAATTCACATTCACAAGGTAAGAAGAACCAAAAGGAAAATGAATAAAATCCATCAAAAAGTGATGAAGGATACTTCTGTTCGAAGAAATGCTGGAAATCAGTAATATGAAATGGGTCAATTATCGGTAGAAGATAACATTCACTCGATTGTAAATTGATAGGAAATAGAGATCGTTCGATGTTTCGTGTTAATCCTTGACGAGTGTCATTGTTATTAGTTATCGGATTGCTCTGAGGTGATTGTTGAGAGCACTTCAATGATCGATGAAACCATTTGTTGAGAAAATATTCATTGTCCATAATACACGATCGCCAATGGTGACAAACAAAGGAAGCTCGAATAAGATCTGGCAGTTGGTCAATATAGTGAAAGATGCAGTGTAGCAACTCGTAGGATAATCGATCCATTTTTTCCGTCGATTCACTCCCCAAGCACATACATATATACATATATGTATGACCTCTGACGGTTGATTCTTTGGAAATAATGGACGGTTATTGTCTTTTCGATCGTCCAACACACAATGGAAGATCTTGCTAGAGAAAAAGTCACGTCATAACTGCATTCATTCAGCGAAAAATTCGTACGAGTTTCATCAAAATGTCTGCACTGATTGGCAGATTCATTTCTGCTCGGCATAGAATGAACATATGACCGCAAAAAATGAATGACGTCAACGCTAACATCACCCTTAGCTGAATCACAAAGAACTGAGATAGATATTGATTTCCTTGAGACAAACACTGGCCTCCGATTGCGAGTTTTTAAAAAAATAAGAATCCTTAGAGGATCAAGTTTGTCTTAAATATAGGATTTTTAATCAAAAGTGGCAAAAATATAGGATCTACTATACATTGTTTCTGCTCAATTGTCTGCTTTTGTTAACTTCTCTGCTCGAAATTTTTTCTAATGAAGCTAGCATGAAGAGCTCGACCGTAATCAGAATTCTTATCTAATTTCTTTCTACTGAAATAAATAGTTAATTCGAATATCATTATATAGTTTAATTATAAAACATTTTTCACAAATCAATGAATAACAAAAAGTAGATCATAAATTTTGAAAAAACAAACAAATGAAAAAAACACAAATACTATTTTTCATAACTAAATTTGACTTATCAAGATAATACTGAATTACAGGTACTCCGAAAAGTATTCGGACATCCCGATATCAAGCATGTTCACGAATCTGATTTCTTTTGGAATAGTTTATATTGCGAAGACTATCTTTCTTCATTGAAATATTATGCTAACAAATAGAATTCACGTTGTTCGTTGTAGTGGTACGTAAATAATATAATTCTGATGTCAGAAAAGCGACCATCTAACTTATTGAAAAATCAAATATTTTCAGAGAAACATTGTCGTATATCGAGATGATAGACAAAATTGTTGATTTTCATAGA